ATCCTGGGATAGAAATCCCAAAAGTTTAGTTAACAGTAATGTAGCCGTATCGGTTTCCTTGACAAATGCACCACGGTAGTGTAAAGTGTTTAACAATGAGAAAAACTGGGGGAGGAAAGTACAGGAATGCCCTGTATTACCTTTATAACTTATTCATAAATCTAAAATTATTCCAAAATAAAAATTTGTTTCAAAAAATTCAGTGGTGGATAACAGACGGCACACTTCAGAGAATGTATTAGGACTTGCAGAAGGAAATCTGCAGGTAAACGTTCAGATCATCCTATATGGGCATTCAGTATTTACATGCTTCATGGATTTAAGTATCTTGTCATTACAGCAGATGTTTATACGAGTAGACACAATAAAAGTAAACTGAATGATTTAGTTACACTTTCTTCCCATAATCTCTCTGTGATATTTACTAGTATTTTCAATTCTATTTTTGAAAGTAAAGTGGGTTGGGGGAGCTGGTTGTGCAGTTTGAAGGGAGCTGCCTCAAGCCAGGAAGAGTTCCGCATAGAGGAAGTCAGCCTCTAGGACCTCCGTTGAGTCTGGCTTTATGGACCTGCAGACTGATGAGCACTGTGACAGCAGGGCCTCTCCAACAACAACCTCCACAGGCATCACAGCTACCATTTTCGGAGAGCACGGTAATGTGCCAGACTTCACACCATGGGTTCCATATACAGCATTACATTTAACCCTCAGCACTGAATGGGGTTATAATTATCTTTTCATTTTACAGATGAGGGATCTGATCATCAGAGAAATTAAATGACTTTGTCAAGGTTGCAACTGAGATTCAAACACCAAAATTTCTGACTTTTCTACTAAATCACCAAACAAGGAAATTCCATGAGGGCAAATGCTTAACTAAATACCTAGTTAGGGTACAATCCTAGTATCATTAGTGTTAACCAATTTATTGATATATTATGCATGATATGTTATAAACATCCAGATAATACTGAACTATACTGAGATCATGTATGTGAAAGCATTGTCAAACACTATATTTGATATACAAAATGTTAATTCCCTATCCTTACAGACTACATCTGTTTTCAATTGGCTCCAAGCTCTTTTTTACTGCTTGTGTTTTAGATCCTAGATCTGTGTAAATTATCATGGCAATTTAAAAGTGCAGAATAAACTGGTGCCGAGAGTGAAGTTTAACCAGTCTGCATGGGAATAGAGTTAAATTTGGGGGAATATCAAGTTATCTCAGATTTTTTAAAAATGTATCATATGTCAATGATTCTATTCTGGGGTTAGAAATATAACAGATTTTTAAAAACAGGTTATCCTTTGCCTAGATTATATTATTATAAGCTTTATTAAGGACACACCTGCCACTTGTATACTTCTTTTCTTTTTTTCTTTTTCTTTTTTTTTTTTTTTTTTTTTTTTGAGACAGAGTCTCGCTCTGTCACCTAGGCTGGAGTGCAGTGGCACAACCTCGGCTCACTGCAAGCTCTGCCCCCCGGGTTCACGCCATTCTCCTGCCTCTGAGAGTAGCTGAGACTACAGGCGCCCGCCACCACACCCAACTAATTTTTTGTATTTTCAGTAGAGACAGGGTTTCACCGTGTTAGCCAGGATGGTCTCGATCTTCTGACATTGCAATCCGCCCGCCTCAGCCTCCCAAAGTGCTGGGATTAGAGGTGCGAGCCACTGCGCCCGGCCCCACTTTGTATACTTCTGTTTATGAGAGTGATTTTCTGATATCATTATTACAGATTTGTTTTAATTTTTTAAATATGGCCACTTTCTCTTTATGCTCTACTTCTTAAGTTGAATAGACTGTCCCCTCTTGCAAACCACAACTATTATCTGAGGGTTGGTAAATTCTATGCAGTGAGGAAGACTTTTAGTGTCTTACATAAGTCTGAAATTTATCAGCAAGAGCTGAGGGAAAGATTGACAAGGACTAAATTTTTCCAGGATATTATTTTAGAAGGATTGACCCCCAGTGAGATGGGACTAAATGGAAGAGGAATGGGAAATATCTGAAAGAGTATAGTCATCTTTCTCTGTGCTAAAATAAGCAAAGCAATTTAAAGGGCTGCCACCCAATATTATCAGGGAGCCCTGCATTACGGACAGAAGATCGGCTTTGTTACATGACAAACATGCGAGCTTATTATCTAATGTGAACAATGAGCAAGATTCTGCTAAACATGGTGGAGAAGAACCACATTTTGCCTGAAAATATCACTTGGTACACCACCAAGAAACGGAACTAACTTCAAACGCAGTGCCACACTATTGCTCTAGCTCAGACTTTGATGACAATAAATGAATGACCTAAGAGGACTCACTCTCTTCGTTCTGGGATGCAGATCTGAGTACATTCCTAGAGTCCCTTTTATCTAGATGTGTTGTGCAAATTTCACTTAATTAATGCTTCTGAAATCACATTTATTTCGGCATGCACCTCATAGATGGACTTAAACTTGTTTTTCTCTTTATACTCAGTTTGAGCCCTGTCAGCCTTCCCATGAATCTGTATTCTGTTTCAAGCTGGAACCAGGCTAAAGAGCAAAGGTTAGTAGGAGTGAATCCAGAACCTCAAAGGATAAACTTTCCTGAAAAACCACAGGTTAAAAGCACCATCACCACATATTAAAAGTAGAATCACTGCCGGGCGCGGTGGCTCACGCCTGTAATCCCAGCACTTTAGGAGCCCAAGAAGGGTGGGGATCACGAGGTCAGGAGATCGAGACCATCCTGACTAACATGGTGAAACCCATCTCTACTAAAAATACATAAAAATTAGCCAGGCATGGTGGTGGGCGCCTGTAGTCCCAGCTACCTGGGAGGCTGAGGCAGGAGAATGGCATGAACCCAGGAGGCGGAGCTTGCAGTGAGCCGAGATTGCATCACTACACTCCAGCCTGGGCGACAGAGCAAGACTCCATCTCAAAAAACAAAACAAAAAAAAAGTAGAATGATTGAGTTGGTCACTTTTACTTCTAATTCTTTTATTGTTTTCTTCAAATCCAAATCATTGGAATGAGTTTTTAAATCTTCAGAATAACTCCTTTATTCCCTTTTTGAGGTTTCTTTGTTCTTTGGGGTCCCAAAGACACTGTTGAATTTATTTGGTTTACCTTTATGCCATCACTTTCCCCCATTTGACTTAAGAAGTTTCTTCACATAGAGATTTTATCACATATGCTGAGTAAAGCACTTGCCAGAAAATGTCATCTTCTTGGAAAAACTCAAACCACAATTACCTCCAGCAATGGTGGACAGATAATGCCACAGAAAAGATAAAACAGATAATTGAAAGCTACAGATAAGCTTCAAATCTCATTTCACCTAAAAATTTCAAATGTGTTCCCACTCCAAACTGAATTTCTTCAGAGTTGATGGTAAGTTGCAAAATATTACTTGAGATCTGTTATCTTCTTTTAAGAACTGTTAGCTATTTGTTTGGAAGCTTAAAACAAGAAAGAACATAAAACACTGTTCTTTATGATTAGCAACCTTTAGAAGTCAATTTAACTTACATTGTAGCTACACTTCCCATCACAAAAATATACGTCCATCACTTTATGGATCAAATTAGATTATATGCTAGTCTGTCACTTATAAGCTCATTTATCTTAGAAAATATAATATGTTGTTTACAGAAAGAAGAAATCTAGAAGTTTGGGGAATTGCTCCTCCTCCAGCTCAGACTTTCCTATCAAAGGAAATGAGGGTAAAGTATGGAAGTGAGAAGGCTGGGGAGAAACTAAAAGGTATTGATGTCTAAGGAAAACAATGTAAAGGATTGAGGAAGCTGAAGCAGCTGAGAGAATTAAGAAAGAAAATTCACAGCAAATTCTCCAGTAGATTCAGTGATTAGGCTACCAGGGATATGGCTCCTCACCTCATGCCAACTCCAGATTGTAGAACCCCTGTACCCAACCCTGGGATTATCCTTGGACCTCAGAATTTCCATCCACTAAAGCTTACTTTAGATCAGTCTCAAAAACCAAAGCTCAGAAAAGACCATCCCAGGAAGGCTTTCCTACTATTAGTCCTGCCAGTTTTAACTATTTTCATCTTTTAAACAGGTAGTGAGGTCTACACTTAGAGATCATTTGGGGACTGGGTTCATAAGTCTTTGGTTCTACATAAAAGTCATTTCTTTATATCAGCATCATTAGCTATTCCCTTGGACACCAGTTTGCCTTATCTTCTTTGACTTTATTGCAGTTGACTACTGGCCCCTACACTTAGGAAGGAGCCAAGAACCCTAATATCTAACACTCTCATGGTCTTAACTTCTTCTGGTTTATTTTAACCAATTACCTCATAAATTATTATATAAACAGAGATTTAAAGCAGTGATCAGAATGTACCAGAAAGTAAAAAGTGTCCAAAACATACTGATTGACTAGTGAGATGAACTAACAATTAGCTATGTATTCAAAGAAGCATACAGAAAATACAAATGATGAGAAGCAATTCATATGTTGACTCAAGTGTAGGTTTCAAAAATAATGGCATCTCATCATCAATGAATCACTTTATCATCACAACATTCCTGTGGGCCCTTCTCTGGCATTATATAATAGCATAATATCTAGAAGTGCTGAATGTGCCTCTTTGCCACACCTATGTGACGAATGAGGGCAGTGTTTGCTAACGCAGGCTCCAAGAAGAGATTTGTGTTGTCTCAAGAGTTTTCTGGATGGTGCTATACCATTGGTATCACCAACTTTTTGCTTTCATCATTTTAGGCAAATCTGAGACTAAAGTGGCGAATAAGCCAAGAGTTCCTGACTTGGCATCCACAGCAGAATTTTATTCGGCTGCTTTCCTCTTCCAGTTCCCTTTTCCTGTAGCCCATACATTATCACTTGGAGCTCACATGTTACTATGTTTCGCTTCACTTCTCTAACCATGATTTTCAGGCACAAGGATAAATGAATCTACCCATCAAACCAAGGAGGATCAAGAAGCTGAAGAGAGGCTGATCACAAGAAATCAATCCAACTTACAAGCTTCCCGGAGTTTCTCCTTGTCATAGTGGAATCCTTCATAGTCTTGCAAACTGATTTTGTTCACCCGGATCCTCAGACGATCTGGGACAGACTGGGGACTGCAAAACAAGAACCGAGTGATCAGATACAAATGAGAGAGTGGAATTGGTAGCCATGCACCTGAAGGACTAAGGGCAATCTTATCTCTTCATGTTTAGAAGTAAGAGTTCACATTCAAACTGGAAAGGTGGGTTCCTTATCAGAATTGAACAGTGATCTGGAGAACACTTCTCCAGAAACCAAAAGTTGCTGGAATTTAGGTAAGAATATGGAAATATGAGGAAAGAGCCTTTGGAGACCACTTTTATATCGTATTTTCTGTTGATGTTTTAAAACATTTAATAAGATCATGTGCTTGTTACATAATAAATTAGATTCAGCGAACTAAAATAGTGGGAGGTGGACTGGAGCTTTAAGACCCACAGACAGATATGCACATCACAGTAAGACATGGTCAGGGGCAGCCTGACCCTCAGAGATGGAAAAATTATCTTTAAAAAGCAGACCAAGAGTCCAGAAGCCACAGGGCTGAGACTGAAGTAGCTCTACACAGCTCAATAGCCTCTGACAGCACCTCTCAGTCAAAGCGTAATACAATAAACACTGCTTGTGATGGTGGCTCTGAGCATTCCAAAATGAAGAAAAATGTTTAAATATATACAGTGTTCTTTCTTTAGGAAGATAATGAAATGTGTAACTCATTTTGAAAGAATTCAATGAATACTGACTCCAGACACATATTAAGCAATAAAATGGTGCAGTACCAAACTTTCTGAACATCTATTCACTCCCTAAATGTCTATAACTCGACTCCTTGATTTTCTTAAGCAATACTTTGAAAGTGGTTTAATCTTAGGCATTAGTTGAGTGAAATAATCTGGTTTTCATCACCACCACGATGGATCAATACATTTCTTCAATATATTAATATAACACAATACCTACTTGTCTTTGAATACTACCTTATACTGGGATTTCACTGGTTGAGAGAATTTTCTCATACAGAGGCTTGTTTCTCTTTTTTTATATATTAAATGGTGATAAAAGTCACCACTGACTAAAGTCACTGACTAAAGTAGAAAGAATGGCATTATTCTTTAATTTTTCCTGTAAAGGAGGAAAAGGAAGGAAAGAAGGAAACAGAGAGAAATAAAAAAGAGAGAGAAAGAGGGAGGGAGAGAGGAAGGGAGAGAATGAGGGAGGGAAGAAAGGAAAACAGGAAAGTTAAGAATAGATGAAAGGAGGGAGTACTGTGTCTACAATATTAGGACACCCCTCTCCACTTCAAACACACATACACAGAAACACAGACACACACCCATTTAATTTCAGTAAAACTCTGGAAGAGGGAGTAAAAAAATCTCATTCTCTTGTCTAAAGCCTCATTTTAGTGCAAAGTATGGTAACTCCCTCCATATGGAATCCTACTTTACTCACCCAAAATAACACATACATAGCAAACTATAGATACATATGTGCACACTCACACATGGTACATTCTCTCTCTCTCTCACACACACACACATACACACAGTGAGAGAGAGATTTAAACTGTGGCTATTTAAAAGTGTAGATATACGTGCACAAATTCTAAAGAGAGATGGTAGACAGGTAAAAATGTCTGAGGTTCACTGGCTTAAAAAATCAGTATAAAACTACACAGATGGATATTTCTGGGGGAAATTTGAAAAGACAGATTCAACAGCTATATTGATCCATCACTCAAAGTGTGTTTATTATTTACTTTATATTACCATCGTGCTGGACATCAAAAAGGTATTGACGAATAAAGCCGAAGCATTTAAGTTGGATGGGAGATATAGCTTGACAGTATATTTGTAGATACAGACCTTCAGTTGGCAGAACAGACCTTGAATATAATGAAAACTCACAACATCATTTACAGGTAGGGAAAGTGAGGTTCAGAAAGATGAAGTGATTTTAAGGACACATAGCTGCTAAGCAGCAGTGCTAAATGCAAAGTCTTGGACCCTTCACTCATCAGTTTCATGTTCTTTCTCTGCTCCTCTGAGGAGTTCAGACTCTCGTGTCAATGAATAAATACCAAGAATCCCATGGATTTGACAGCAAAGCTATAAAGTCTGGATTAGCGGAGTCTGATGATCTCTGTGTGCTGCTCAGATTTCTTTCTTTACCAATAAACAATCATCAGGCAGGGTGGTTAAGTAAACCAGAGAACACTGGGCAGAGAGTACAAATGAATGTGTAGGTCTTTATTCATTTAGAGGGAAATATGGCTACAACATGCTGTGAAGTGAAAAAAATCATGAATAATTATATATGGCATAAGCTCCTTCATATCAATTGTGGAGTTTAGGAGTTTGTATATGCAACAGAAGTGCATGGAGACATGTCCAACAAGCTGTTGCAAGTTGCTATCTCTGTGTGGTGAAGCCTGGGCATTATTTTATATCAAGTATAATTTTTAAGGAACTAATATCATTTTAAAGGCATGTCCATATGTAAACAAACAATAATGCAGGACAAGAATAAAAATAACGCCTATAGCAAAGAGTGTTAGGAATTAGATGCAAGTAGGGAGGAAAAAATTTATGCAATTAACACCACACAGTGTTCACATTAGATTTTTATCACCAAAAGTGTCTAATAATCCCTTTATTTCCAAGTTCACTCAACTGATCTGCAAAGATTGTAACTAGAAAATATTCTCCTGCACACATAGCAGATAAGAGGGAAGTTGGAACCATGGAATGTAGTGGCCTATCAGACCCCAATAGCAGAAGCTGAGTGGAGGCAGATGTTGAATGAACTCTACCTAAGCAATTTTTTGAGATAACAGTAAATCTAATGGCAGTGGGCTTCAGTCTTCTCTACTGAGCTGGAGGTATCAGGACTAAGACCTCACTTGAGCAGTACTTGCAAATGGGAAACGAGATTTGGAGAATGACTGCTGACCAGTTCCTGGACCCTGCTTCCTAGAGCTCCCCGATTTGGGGCTTACCAGTGTGTATCACCTTTCTCAAAACCCATAAAGTGGCTGCTCCCTGTCCACATGCATCTACCTCCCAGGTTCTCATCTATGCCCTCTGATTCCAACCCATGCACTATTGTCTCCTGAACCTCTGGCCGCCCACTACTCTACCCTAACTTCCAGGGCGCACACCATGGCATAAAACAGACACTATTATTTCAGTCAAATTTTATAGATCCTAAATGAATTCACATATGTTCTCAGTTCATCTCCAGAATGATCAGCTAAGCAAGACAGAAGAAAACAGAGACTCTCTCTAACCACCGCTTAACACTTTCTCCCATCTACCTTCCTACACATTCGCTCCCTTGCTCTCAGCTCCCATCTTTCCCCAACGACTTGCAACACTTCCCACTTTCCCACTAGCAGCAGCTTACTTAAACCCAGTCTTCTGGGCAGGGTATCTGTTTTCTTTTTTAATCTCCTATTAAAAGATGTCCCAGTTGAGACTCATCAGCAAATGTTAGGGTACTAGACCCTAGGGTCAATAATGGAAAACCTTGAATCATTTGCAACCTTGGTGTAAACAGCAGGTATGGGAGGCAACACAGCAAACTGGTGAGGAGCTCAGGCTCCAAGTCAGATTGCCTAGATTTCAAGTAAAGTTCTCCCAGTTCCTAGTTAATCAGGAAACTCTGAGCTTCAGTTTCCTCCTATGTAAAGTGGAGATGATAACAGTATCCACCTCATAGGCATATAAAGAGAATTAAATGAGCTGATACATGTGATATGCTTAGAAAAATGCCTGGCACATTGTCAGTGCTCAATAGATTTTAGCTATTATCATTATAATAATTACTCTGAAAATTGTTCTCCTAGATAAGATTCTACCTAATAATCAATAGCATTTGCTGCTTCTGCCAGATATTGGAAGATGTTTAGAGCACATAAAGGAACCTCCCTAAACATATCTGACAAGGTGCTGGGCTTCCTCTGGGGGAAGATTGTCTAGCTTGGCTGGGGGCATGACATTTTACACTTCTGGGTCCTCTCCCACCTAGTATTTTTAAAGGCCAACTAAAAACATGAAAACAGACAGCTAGAACATGGGGGAGTGGGGGTAAGTGCACAGAGATTAAATGAAAGCCAAGTCATTCAATTTTGTACCTTTATGTCAAAATATATTAGTGTCCCATTAATGGCTGACTGAAGGCAGAGGATGACAAAGCTGTTCTTTGGAGTCTGTGGAATAGCACTGCCATTAGTTTGCTAAAATTAAATTTTGTCTGGGAAGTTAGTAGAGCACAGGAGAGACAAACAACCTGGGTAAAAATAAATTTGCCTTCCTGCCAACATCTGCCACAAGCTACTGCCATACTGATTAGGCTCAGGATCAGGGGTTCTAAACCTGGCTTCCATGGAACATCTCAAACTCCCTAGAAGAGATTCAGCACTCTGTGAATTCCCTTTCATATTGGGATAATGGCCTAAACCTGTTGCCTTCTCACTAAGGCAACAGGTTGACGTCACTACCCCAATTCTCTGCAACACTGTGATTGAGATCCTTATGCAGAGTGGAAGTTCATGACTCTGGACTTAATTCCCAAATGTCTCCCATGAACACTTTCTCAAGAACCATAATAAGAGTACTTGTTGAATCACTCGGGTGGGTTTCCAATAACCTCCATGCCACAGCTTCCCTTATCCATGTTATACACACCTTTTACCCTGAGATTTTGGAAGGCAGGTGGACTGACTTTCCATCAAGACAACTCCCTGAACACTCACTGCTATTCAATTTACACCTAAATCTTGCTATTCTCTGCTCTCCTGTAGATGTTGCCATATTTCAACTGTTCCCATGGAGAATTTCAATCCATCAGAGTCATATTCCTTCCTAGTGCCCTCAAATGTCTTCCTCCTTTTGATCATTTCTTTAGTACACACCATTCCTCTCAGACTGATAAGAGATGCCTCTCATCCAATCTCTGACCCAGGCCTAATCTCTTTATGGATAAAGTGGATGGGCTGAGTGTTTTGGTTCTCCAGGGTCACTTTCAAACCACAAACTCCATTAACTCATTCTGTCACTGGAAACATGAAGTA